ACAGGTGCTAGATGTTGTTTTACAGGAACTGCTGGGAACTTTAAAGGGAAAATGACTAACAGAAATGAGAATGAAGGGTAGTTCAGGAAGTCTTAAACACTTCTTAGCTCTTCCTAGTTCTTTTTCTTTCTTGTATGCGAGTCACTCTCTGTGCCTCAGTTTCTTCATCTGGAAATCAGGTTCCACAGTCAGAAAGTAACTTCTGATACCTTACACTGGGGACTGAAGGATGCCCATATACATCAGTTATCTTTCGGCACCTGGTCTGTAATCTTCAAGGAGTTTTCTGCTAGTCTAGACAAAGAATCTTAGCCAAGAGTTGATTAGAGAAGAAGAGGTCCTTCAGATGGAGAGGACTACACGAACAAAGGCTTAAAGTTAGAAATCACTGTGGCACCTCAAGATCATCTTATACTATTCATATTCCATCAACAAATTGTAACAGCTTAAACTAGTTTTTTTTTTTTTTTAGACCTTTTTGCTTTAAGATGAGCCTTAGATATGTTGAAATTCTGTCTTATGAGCATGTAAATTATTACTGGGTTTAATGGAATAAAAAGGAAAAGACTATAAGAATTCTCAGTAAAAACAAAAAATACTGTGGCAAAGATGAGACCAAGTCTAACATGTTTTGTTTCACGGTAACAGTAATTTTTTTATTGTAATGAGAATTGTGTACAATAATGTAAATAGGGTTCTTATCCCAGGCTAGCATGCAATAAAGTGAACAATGGTGTTTGTCAGTATCACTATTGTTTTCTTTTATAGGTAAATAAAATGGATCTGGGGATGGTAGTACATGCCTGTAACTCCGCACTTGGGAGGCTGAGACAGGAGGATTGCAAATTTAAGGCCATGTTTGGCTATATGGAGAGACCCTGTCTCAAAAAAAAAAGATAAAAGAAAGTGGAATTTCTAATAAGTGATGGTCTGGCCCAGGGTCATATACCTATCATGGAGGGAGCTTGAGTAGAACTTACATCTTGACTCTAGAGCTCTAGCTATGCACCACTGTGTTTTCAGTCCCGCCATCAGGGAGCCTCTGTTTCTGACCCTTGCTGCCTCCCTGACTCAGCTACTGTGGGTGGCCTTGCTCATGTGCGTGGGCAGTAGAGAGGATGAGAAGCCTCCCAGTTCCTTGGAAACCATATATAGCCAGCCCTGGCCCTTCCAGGCCAGACCCCCAGGCCAGGCCTGCTGCTGCCTGCTCATCTGGGCCGAGGGGCCCTAATCCCTACTTAACTTCCTGGCTCTGCTCCAAATAGCTCTGGAAGAGGCTCTGTTTAGATACAGTTCTGTAAGATCTTGTTGGGCAAGTTACTGAAAGAGAACATGAGGCCATTGTCTTTCATTCATGCTGCGGTCATTTCTTACTTCAAGTTCATGTTTAAGCAGCCCCATCCACCTGGAGTGCCTCACTCTCTAACTCTTAGGCATCCTTCATTGCCCAGTGTGACGGATCAATGGAGTTTCTTTGTGAATGTGTGGCTAAGGGTAGGTCACACACCCCATCCATCATCCATCCATCCATCCATCCATCCATCCATCCATCCATCCATCCAGTAACGCTTACCTGCAGGCACTTTATATAGAGCATCAGCTCTTCTTTTTCCTCTGGATTCTTCTTATAGTATTGGGAATTGAACCCAGGAACTTCACAGTTAGCTACATCTCCAGCCCTTTTTTAAGATTTTTAAATTTTGAAACAGGGTCTTGCTAAGTTATCTAGGCTGAGCTCAAACTTGTGATTCTCCTGCCTCTGACTTCCACAATGCTGGGATTACAGGTGTATGACACTGCCTGGCTCAGATTCTTCTTTCAACTGAGAAGGAAATTCTTTGAAGATTGCAGACTCAGGGATAAAAGATGTCCACAGGCCTTACAGTGTGGATGTGTATTCCACAAATCTAAGTGCTGAACTATAATCTGCAATGTGACGGTATTAAGAGGTGGGGGTTTTAGAAGTGATTAGATCACAAGGACTTCACCCTCATGAATGGGAATAGTGCGCCTTATGAAAGAGACCTCATGAAGCTTGTTTGCCTTTCCTGCCATGTAAAGGCACACAGAAGGTGCCATCTATGAGGACTGGGTCTTCACCAGATACCAAATATGCCAGCACCTTGATCTTGGATAGCCAAGCCTCCAGATCTGGGAGCAATACATTTCACTCATTGCAATTTATCCTATCTAAGATATTTTGTACAGCAGCAGGCATGAACTAAGAGAATAGAAAAAGACTGGTCCTTATTTTAGTCCTTGTGGGGCTGTCATCATTATCACCCCATTTCACAGCTGTGAAGATTTAGTCTTAGAGAGACAAAGTCCAAAGGACACATAGTCAATGCTTTCCAGCTCTCAGGAGAAGCAACCGCGCCAAGGGTCAGGCCCTGGGTGAGGACAGACTTCTCCTTCAGTATTTGGCTTTCTGCTTACCCAAGACCTTTCCAGTTTGGAGGCAACCACCCCTCACTCACTCAATCCTTTTTCTAACCACTCTGTAACTGGATATGATCTGGTACTCATCAAAGTGACTGGAAAAAGATTCATTCTTTCCCTGTGTCTCTACCAACTAAGACTTTGAGGATGCCTGTCCCAGCTCAGAGCCTATAAAGTCCTTTTCACATTTACCAGTACCCTACTGAGGCTAGCAGGCAGGGATGGTCTTCTCCATGATTCAGATGAAGACACTGAGTCCTTAGTCCTGCCCAAGGACACATGCCATATAAGGAGGTAGCACAAATGAGCTTGGAATCTCTTGCTTCAAGGCACTGGACATAGACTTGGCTGCTAGAATTTTTCTGAAGGCAAGGTATGAAGCATTTAAGAGTCCGACAGACCCCACCTTTGATTTTCTTTTCTTTTCTTTTTTTTTTTTTTTTTGAGACTGTCTCGCTATGTAGTTCAGGTAGCCTTTGAACTCACTAGGTAGCCCAGGATGGTGCTCAAACTCATGGCAATTCTCCTGCCTCAGCTTCCTAAGTGCTGAGATTACAGGAATGTGCTACCATGCCAGCTCCTAGTTTTGTTAATAACCAGTTGTACAGCCTTGGGGAAGTCATGTCACTCCCTTGAACCTCAGCCTTCTCCTCTGAAAAATGGAGAAAGTGCTAGTAGCTGTTTGAGAGGTACTGGGAGGATAAAATGAAGCAATACTTGTGAAGCATTTTGGGCAATGCCTGGAACATGAGGATGCTGTCAGTGAGGTGATTGATGTGCTAAGAGTCTAAGCTGGAACATCAGGTTTGGAGAATTGACCATGCTTAGGATAATAATATTATGTAACACGTCTTTATCAATCCTACTGCCAGGCACATTTGTGCCTGGATAATATCCCTATAACTTAGGACCATTTTACAGATATGGTAACTATGGTTCAGAGAGGGCAACTGACTTGTTCTAGTTCCCTGACCGGCAAGAGGCAGCTAGGGCTTGAACTCCAGTCTGAGTCCCTGATCGCAGCTCTGCTGGACTGTGTTGGATTCTCCAACCGTACCGGGCTAAGACCCAGAGAGGGAGAGGAAGTAACATGGGGCCCTACAGGAGTTGGGAATAGGACAGATCACACTGGGGAAGTCTTTTCCTTCCTGGTGGCTCCTGATGGGTCTGGATAATTCTCCAGCCTGAAGATTAAGACAGGGCCTGATGGGCACAGTCACAGTCCTTGGGAAGGTCTGGGAGGCCTGGGGGGTGGTGTGTGTGTCTCTTTTTAGTTCCAAGCTGCCACCAGATTCCATCTTCCCCAGACACTTGCAGTCCCCACTTTACTCTGTGACTGTGCCTTCCCCAACCCCTGCTTGAGTGCAAGAGGCCCCCCTCTTTTATATCAGCTGAACCTTCTCCAAAGAAAACTCATCAGTGCCCACAAAGCAGCCAGCAGGGGAGGAGGCTGTCCTGGAATGTTGGAGGGGGGTCACTCAAGTTTGTGAGCAGCCAGCAGAGAACTGTGTAGAGAAATGTGAGCAGTTACCTTTTTTGGGGAAGTCAGAACTCAATCTGTGGGAAAAGATCCAGGGCAGCCAAGCTAAGGGGCTCAGGCCTCAGTTTCCCATCATCCCCACCAGTCTTTATAGGGTATGAGTAACTTCACCTCTGGATTTGACAACTATTGTGTACTGCCGAGTGTCATTCACTTAAATGACTTCTGGGGACACAGAAGGTCAGAACTTACCCTTTTCCTTAGGGATTGACATTTTAGCAGAAGGCTCATGAAGTCCCTTCACTACGGAGGGGAAAATGCCTTGAGCCCACTATTTCTAGTCAACATTCTTGGACCTGGATTGATCTGAGTTCAGAAACTTGTTTTGGATTTCAAAAGGTGCTCCAGTGGGACCTGGGCCCACCTAAGTATAATTTGATGGTTATGAATGTTTTATGCTCTTGTTTTTATTTTGAGACAAGGTCTCACTATGTTGCCTAGGATGGAACTTCTGGGCCCAAGCAATCCTCCTGCCTCAGCCTCCTGAATAGAGGGGACTATTGGGCATGTACCACCACTGCTGGCTTCTGAGTATTGCCTCTAAGTGAAATATGTAGATTCTCCTAGGCTAGGTTCATTCAGATCAGGGTTTGCCCCCGAATGGGTTTTCTTTGAGTACACAGAAAGCTTTTGTTTCACTGGCTTTTCTAGACTATGGAGCTGCAGAGAAGAGATTAAAGTCTTGACTCCACCCTGCACCATACAGATGAGAAAACTGAGACTCAGTCAGGGAGTCACATACACAAGTTTGTGTGGGGGAATGCAGTTCTTGGTGGCTTCAGATTAAGTGCTTGTCACCAGCGAGAACTGGGCTTGAGAGAGAGGCAGGGACTGGGTGGAGGAGGTTCTGTGGTCAAACCTCAGGGGCCCACCCGCCAGCCTTGCCAGGAAGGAGTTAAGCCAGAGCTGGGCCCCAGCCAGACCTCTACACCGCAGCTTCCATAGGGTCTGCCTGTCTGGAGCCTGTTTACCAGCTGCGCTTGCATCACTGGCTCCATCACGCAGTGCAAACACACTCACATTCTTCAGTCATGAGAAACTCACAACTGCGGTGACATCATACCCAGCCAGGAGGCTCTCCCCAGCCTTCTTCTCCGCCCTAAGTCAAAGCCGTCTAATTAGCACCTTTAACTGGAACTCTATCTTATAAAAACCAACTGGAGAAGGTTAGCTGGTGGGGGTGGTGAGGACTGGTGTGTGTGTGTGTGTGTGTGTGTGTGTGTGTGTGTGTGTGTGTATTTTAAGGGATAAAAATAGCCCAGCTGGTACTGCTTTTGGGGTGTTTGTGAGTACATTCTATTAGTGCACCACTACTTATATTAAATCTATGTTGTCACTTTAATATTTCCCTTTGAATTTAGGTTATAAGCAGGATAAGAAGAAATCACCCATGTCTTTTTGTGCTCGCTGATGTTTCTTTTGGGAAGAAGATATGTAGGCTGAGTACAAGGATCCTCAGCAATGCTTTGGCCAGTTTTGCCTTAGATAGACAAGGAAGGGGAGGCCCAGAGAGGGAAGGACTGTGCTCAGATCACACAGCAGGACTCAAAGTTCCCACAAGCCTTCAGATGTATTTTTCAGCAAGTTCTTCAGTCACACTTCAGCTTTATGAGTTACTGTTCAGAATGTTGGAAAGAAAGATAGATACTTCTGTTTAAAACTTCCTGTGTTTTCTTTTAAACCCAAGGCCTCTCACACTCAGCACATACTGTACTACTGAGCTACACTTCCAGCCCTTCCAGCTGTTTTCTGAGATGAAGGTGGTATCAGTTCTGGCAGCAGTAGATGTGAAGTTGGGGTGGCATCAGAGAAGAGTAAATAGGACCTAAAGAGACTTCAGCCTGGCTGGGCATGATTGCACCTCCCCTTCTCTGACCCAAGACTTGATCTTGGATTTGAGATATCTGCTCTCCCCACAGTCCCCTGGGCTTCCTTTTGTTCCTCTTTCCAAGAAATCCTATCCCCTGATTGATTTCCTGCTGTGACCACTGAAGACTAATTGCCTACCTAGCTATAGCCAGTAAAAATACAAAACATGATCTGGCTGTGATGGTTCATGCCTATAATCCCAGCACTCTGGGAGGCTGAGGCAAGAGGGTTACAAATTTGAGCCTAGTTTGGGCAACTGAGTGAAAACCTGCCTCCAAAAAATAAGGCCTAGGATGTAGTTCTGTGTGAAAATCCTAAATTCAATTCCTGGTATCACAAAACAATCAATCAAAAAAGTTGACCTCAGATACATTTTGATTTCAGATCAGTATGTCCCATAGAATATTGGGGTATGCATTTATCTGGACACTTTTTCTTTTTTTCCCTTATCATCTTCATTGTGGGGCACTGTAGTTCAGGTCCCCATCAGACTTCCTCCTCCTTTTCACTAACTAAACCTTGATTTTGTCTGGGGTGGCAGTATGTCCTAGGTGGTTAATCACGGTAGGTCTAAGCCACTCACCACAGTCCTGTTCTCCTGTGCTTTCTCAAACTCTCCATCATCAAGGTTTAAAATAGGTACCTGCCAGTTCTTTGACATCCCTTCTTTCAAAAGGAAAGAGTCATCCCCTTGCTTTGGATGTAGGCTGGACTTAGTGACTCACTTCAAAGAGCAACTTCTCATGGCATGTTATAAAAACCACTGCGGCTTCTGCTTTGCTCTCTTAAATTATTCACTCTGTGGGAAAGCCAGGGCCATGTTGTAAGGACACTCAACAGCCTTAGTTCAGCCAAGAGCTTGCCACAAGTGGGCCACTGTGAATGCAGCCCTAACCCTAGTCAAGCCTTCAGATGACTACAGTGTGAGCTGACATTCAGTGATTTCACAAATTAAAGATATATTTATGCTAATCATGCTTTTTTTTTTCTTCACATAAGGTCTTGCTGTGCTGCTTAGGCTGGTCTTAAACTCCTGGGCTCAAGTGATCCTTTTGCCTCAGCCTCCTAGGTAAGTGAAACTACAAGCACACACCTTTCATATATTTTATTTTCGTATTTTATGATTTTTTTTGGACTTTTTTCAGGGGAGAGGCTTACTGTTTAGGGAGAAACTATCCAGAGATAGCAAACAACTTACCAGAAAAAGCTTGTCTTTCATATACAAACTGACTAATCTCATGCTGTCTCTAAAACATTTTATCTAACTCTCATTCTGCTTTATGTCAACCAAGGGCAAGGTACCAACTGGAGACATCCTCTGCACCTCCAAAGCCCCTGAAGTGATTCAAATGAGCCGGTCCTAAACTATGTACATGCTCTGCCTTGAGTTTCCCGTGGAAAGCCAATAAATGTTGTGGTCTATACTTTCTGTTGGCTTCTTTCTGTCTTTCTGACATTAGTGCTTTTCCCCTGTGGCCCTGAATGGCACACTGTGCCTCCCGTTTTTAGAGGAACTGTCAGTAATATTACTTTTTTCTTTCCAGAGGATTTACCTCTCTGTGTTGTTATTCAGTCATCTTTATAAATTAAGATTTGGGCACAAATCAACTCAGAGACCCTAAGGTAGAAATACTTAACTAAACTATTCCTGGATGGATAACTGACTCACAAAAAGTACCAAAGATAATAAATGTTTACTATTTTTTTTCTTCAACTTGTAAGAAGGGAATGTTTACCATTGTTTAAGGAGTTAGGCCTTGTGTAACTTGTTTTACCATAATGGGTAACTAATAATAATAACAATAATATATCATGTGATTTATGGTCATAAGGGGAATGCATAAGGAGAAGGATGCTTCTATAAAGCTTTTATTATTAAGTGAGTAGAAGGAAGGAGAGCTCAGTGTACAGAAATTGTGGCCATCTTGAGACCATGTGGCACTGAAATATAAGGATAGAGGTGTGAAAATGTAGGAAGAATAGCTATCCTTCATAACATTATTGAGCTGGTGGATCAACTCTGTGACCAAGAGCTTCTAGATCTGTAGGTAAGTAAACAATTCATGTCCTTATCGTTTAAGCCACTGTATTTTGCAACTGGCAACCCAAAATACTCCTAAACTAATACACCCAACATTCATTGTGTCTTCTTACTTAAGTGGTGTAACCTATGCATTAACTTTACTTATCTAGAATCTGAAAAGAATTTAAAAGGTCAAGTTTAAAAAAAAGTATGAAGCCCATACCAGAGTCTGAGCACCTTCTCTCAGGAGAGCTTTTCCTATTCTTTTCTTTTGAGGCAGTGTCTCTCTATGCAGTTCAGGTTGACCTCGACCTCACTTTGTAGCCCAGGCTGGTCCTGAACTCACAATGATCCTCCTGCCTCAGCCTCCCAAGTGCTAAGATTACAGGCATGAGCCACCACGCCTGGCTAGGAGAGCTTTTTCTGTTCTTCATTGTTAGCCTCTACTTTTTTTGTCAAGTGTATCTAAAGTGTCTTCCTAGAACACATAAGCTTGGAAATAAAACTCAATTTGGTAATTGTCATCTGCCACGTGCAAAACACTGTGGGAGTCCCACTGAACACCTGGTATCTATACATACATTTTAAGTAAGCCAGCAACATAATCCAACGGGCCAGGTAACTAGGACTGTGAGGTAGAGATGAGAACAAGAGAGGGAAACAAGAAAATCCAATTTATTAAGAAAATATATATTTAAAAATATTTTTCCATGGAAAATTCTTTCTACAGGACAAACCACTCTAAGTCTTCTTAATAGCTGCTAATATTGGTTTCCAAAATACACAGAACACTTGTCTTCTTTGACTTCCTGAATCTCTTAAAAGTATACTCAAGTGAAATAGTGTGCCAAGCCTGGATCCAGCTTCTGAGGAGATGCAGAACATGGTAACTAAAGGATGACCCAAGGCTCAATTATTTCACGTCTTTACTGCACAGGCAGGAACCTAAAGTGGGACGGCCTACAGTGACACAGTAAACCAGTTGCAGATTATGGACTAGAACTTTCTCTTCCTCTAGGCAGTGAAGAAGATGACATGGATTCTCTCCAACCACCCAAACATTTCTTTTCACGAGGAGATGATTTTTGACCCAGTACTGCTATGAGCTCCCCCAGTCAGGAAGCTCTGCTCGTCCAGGATTTCCTGTGTGTGGGAAAGAAACAGGATGAGCAGATAAATCCTCCGTGGCTTTTTTTTTTTTTTTTTTAAATGCATGAGGCCCTCCTTCTGGTAAGTCTGCAGTATCCCTGGCCAAGATGACCAATCATTGACATGCGCTTTTAAACAATTATTAAAAAGGATGATTGAGCTGTGTGTGTGCTGATGCATGCCTGTAACCCTGGCCACTTGTGAGGCTAAGACAGTATTGCAAATTCAAAGCCAGATAAGGCAACATAGTTAGACCCTGTTACACACACACACACACACACACACACACACACGTCTGAGCACTCTTCGTGCACAAGGGTGGGCATGGTAGAAGGAGACAAGAGCACAGGTCACCGTGGCCCTAGGATGCAGCCTCAGTTTCTCCTAGAAGCAGATCCCAAGAGGAGTACTAAAGTGTAGCTCATTTATCTGGGGTGTGATTCCAGGGAATCCCTGTAGGGGAGTAGGGAGGTGAGATGAGAAAAACAATATTATATGGAGCCAGTTATTTCAGTGGTCAGGAGCTCATCGTCTGTAGGGAACTATCAGAGTCTGTAAAGAGCATGCGTCAGCCATCCCAACCAAGAAACAAGCAAGCTGGGCCTCTGTCCATCAGTCCCTCACCCTTCACTGATGAGGCTGCTTCTGGAGCTCCCAGCACTTCCGGGTTGCTAGACAATGCAGAGACAGAGTTAGGTGTGTTTAAACAGCTTTTGGTTGTAAAGGTGGTTGTTGGGGATACTGGTGGTGGCGCTCCAGGGCTGCTTACAAATTAGTTTTACATTCATAGGAAAAGGCAGACACAGGCCCAGGAGACATGCCTCTTCCTCTCTGGCTAGGGATGTTATGAGCATAGCTAAGCTTTTGCTGTCCAGTCCCCCACCCCTTCTCTTGTTGAAAAACCACCCTGCCCCACTGTAGCAGTCTGCTAGTATACACGAACATCCACATATTCCTATTCAACCCTTAACTAGACCACCGTTCCAAGCCTTCCTTGCATTTAGAAAGAATCATGTGCCAATAAAATGTGAGACCAGAACTTTCAGTAAAAAAATAAAATAAAATAAAATGTGAACAGAAGACTTCTGTAGCACTTCCTGGTTTCACTGTACTTTCTTTCCCTTTCTTTAGTGACTTTGGAAACAACATTTTCAGTGGTGAAATGTTTTTCGTGGTACTTTCGGAGAAGACAGTGTCACACAATGACTATATAAGTCGTTACTTGTTAGTTGTGGTTAGCTCTAAGAAGGAAAATACTAGGGCTCCTTTATCATTTTTGCTTTGTAATTCATGCAGAGGAATGACAGAGCAAAGTCCCCAAGGCAAGAAGAAAGAATTCAAGATAAATCATCTAGATGGATGTGATGGCACATGCCTTTAATCCTAGCACTCCAGAGGCTGAGGCAGGAGGAGTGTTGCAAGTTCTAGTCAACTTCGGCTACACAGTGAGTTCAGAGCCACCCTGCACTACAAGTGAGACCCTATCTCAAAAAACAAAATGAAGGCAAAACAAACAACCCCAAAACATCTTGACTGGGATAATGAGCACAGGAAAGTGAAAGTGCTGCACATGATCCAGAAAAAGATTCATGGGTTTCCTGAGGAATTGGAGGGTACAGGTCAGACATGGCCTTCTGCACACTCCCTGTTCTCCCTGGGGGCAGAGGGCCACTTTGTTTATAATCAGGAGGGACTGAGCCTAGAAACCCAGTAGAATTTGGGGTGTGTGTGCAACTTGGGTAGGTGTGGAGCTCAAGGATCCTGATACTGGAGCCCTCCATTTTCAGGGCAGGGCTCCATGATCTGTAGTGAGGGAAGGGATTTTCTGTCTCCCAGTCACAATCCATTCTCGAATCCCATGGCCTGAATTGGGTGAGTTTTGAAATCACATGGTCTAGACCTTCTGGTGGCCTAGGTATGTCTCATCCTAGATAAACGACTTTCCAGTAGCAGTGTAGTGGGCTCTTGTGCATTAGCCTGAGAATCCTGCCTCATTGTTTTGTTAAACTTCAAGTAACTGACTTGATAATAAGCTGTTGGATAGGGCTGCTGGCCTGACTTTCTTGGGGGCTGCCCCTTGCCTGCCCCAATTCCCCTCCCCCAGAGCAGAGTCCCCTTGGGAAGTGTGTCTGATACAGCTGCATCCGTGGGAAGGCCTGGCCCCAACACCTCGCCCTCCTGCCCTGCTAAGGCCACAGGAAATGACCCCCTAGCAGCCGTCAGCTGTGATCCAGAGGACAATGACAGAAGGACGGAAGGCCATTTGTTTTAGCTAACTTGTCCCCTTGGGTGAATGCCAGTGCTGGAAATATAAAACTGAAGATTCAGTGGGAAAACATATTTTTTTTTTTACAAAAACAAAGAGACAATCTTGTGAGCGTCAGCCAACTTCTGAGGTTTTGAGAGACTTTGTGTATGTGTGTGTGCACGTGCACGCACGCGTGCCTGTGTATTTAAAGCACAGATCCGACTCAGAGGATCAGAGAATCTAAGGTTTGGAAGGTAAGTCATCCTTCCTGCACAGAGGAACCCTGTGATTTCTTTCTTCATGTGGTTGAGCCCCACCTCTCCAACACTGTAAATCCTGACCGTTGGCTCTGACCACTGTCCCCTTCCACTCACCACTCAGAATACAGAGCTCTTCTGAAATACAGATTACGTTGTCCTTTCCAGGGCTCTGCAGGCCAATTCTGTCTCATTCCTTATGTGTCAGCTTAAATGCCACTTTCTTTTCTGATCTATCTACAGGGACAGGGTATCTCAGTCTCTTTCTCCCAAAACGTACAATTCTCACCACATCTAGAATGATCTGGTTTGTTTCTACCTGCCTGCCACAGAGTTGGTCCCCATAAATGTTCACTGTTTTTCACTGGTTGTTTCACTCAGCTCAGAGTTGACTTCGAAGGTCCACGCTTGATTGTATTTCAACAAACACCATTGGCTACCAATATCACTGGCTATCTGAGCTGGAGGCCAGTAGACGAAGGTTAATTCATTCACTCATTGATTATTCACAAGCGGGCTCAGAAGAAATGGTGATTCAGTCTAAGGATACAGAGTGCTGACAAGCTGAACAAAGGACGAAGTGGGTGGTGCGTCTCCCCCCAGGGAAGTAGGTTTGGAAGCGTGAAAGTAATACATTTGGAAATGGAAGATAAATTTGGAATGTGGAATTTACTTTGTTCCCAGTTAGGACCCCCACAGGGGACGTGGATTTGGGTTTATCTGGGACTGCAAGGAGATACTTTT